AAAGAGGGTCCCCGCTTCCTCCTGACACAGCCTACACTTGCCGCAGCTGTGATACCCATGCCCTTGGAGCTCAACACCTATCTGCATCAACGCCTGTCTGTCCGACGCTCTGACTGCCGCCGCACGGACCTGCAACCGAAACCCCACAGGCGCGATCTGAGAGAGATTCCAGACCTGCCCGAGGTCAGTTTCGACCGTTCGAAAATCTCTAAACGTCCAGCCCACGCGAGCAAGACTGAGCACTGCCACATCCGCAGGTGTCGCAGCTCCCCGCCATGGGTGCCTTTTCGAATTGGCTCGAGCTATGGCCGCGTCGGCCGTCGCTCGAAACCTTGGGAAAACTGCCCCAGACCGCAGTGGCCCATTGGAAGGCCACATGGCCAACATAGGCCACTAACGGGTCAACGATTTCTCCCAGACGAAACGAATGCAGCCGAATTCCCAGGGAGGCCCCTTTGGGATGACGTCCTAGAGCGTGAGCCGCCGACAGCCTTAGGCCATGCATGGCCGTCGGCGATATTCCCAAGACACTACTGCCCCAGAGGGCCGATGCCGTGGCCCCCATTCTCTGTGCAAGAGCCACATCTGCCCCAACCTCCCTCAGCAATCGAAGTCGCTTCGAGCGCGAACCTGCATCAATGAACCTCGCTCTCTGCACTCCCACGCGTCGTCGTGAGCCCGTCGTCGCATCCGTGCCGAGGTTGCGCGCATGCTCGACCCGAGACGTACCAGGCAAGCACCATAAGCCCACGGCATGGGTCTGAACCTCTCGAGTGCACAAGTACTTCGTTTTCTTGATGTTCACAGGCAAGTGGAGCTCCTCAAAGTACGAGAAGAGCTGAGCGACTGCACTCGATAGCACCTGAGCTACCTGAACTGGCCGACCGCATGCCTGTAGTGCCACGTCGTCTACAACATTGCGGATGAATAAATTCGGCCTACCTTGCTGTGTGAGAAGAAGCGGACGGAGCAACAGTAACTTAGCCAGTGTGGTCGCTCCTGAGCATCCAGCCACCACAGCTGCATTCGCCAAGTAGGCCGACGATACGGCACCTCCGTACATCAGAGCTTTATATCCAGCATCGATAGTACAGTACCCTCTGAGGACCTTGATGGGGAACCCATACTGGAGCCCCGCAGCTCTGATATCAAGGTGCCTAATGTGCTCATAGAAGCGGCTCAGGTCGACCAAGACAGATCCACTCTGAAACCCAACTTCCTTGCAACAACCTCCCAAGAGATTGTGGACCCAGCCAGCTCTCTCACAGGTATTGTGTGGCCCCGTGCCCCAATAGAATGCCTCTGCATGCTTCTTCTCCCATGCCTGACCGTGTGGCTGGCGGAGTCGCGACCACAAGCGCAGCACCAGGCAGATGAGGCCGATGGGGCGCACGCCGCCGTCGGGCTTGTCTAAGAAGGCCATGTTGGTCAAGAAGACGAGAAGATCCTGTGGTCTGTCCTCAAACCTGTGCAGAATATCTAAAAGCCTTAGCTGGTGTTCCTCCGTGAGGCTCAGAACCCATCTTGGGTGAAAACCATCCCACCCCAAGCCAGCACCAGGAGCATACTTACGACAAACTCTCAGGAGCCGATCCAGGGCAAGAGGTTCCAATTGGGCTTCATCAGCTGGGACAGGCCACTGGGATGGGTGCTCATCCTGCCTATCAGCTACACACCACAGCGGCACCCATTGATCTAGAAGAGCCGACAGTGCTCCAGCACCTACTTGAGGGACGCCCTCAGCGTCGAGAAGAGAAGTGACATTGGATGCCTTCTGCTTAGCAAACTTATGATCTGCCTTCCCTCCTCCTTTGACACTCTCATCCGCCCAGGTCCTCCACTCCTTCAGTGATACCTTTGAAGAGGAGGAGGAGGAGGAGGAGGAGGAGGAGGAGGAGGAGGAGGAGGAGGAGGAGGAGGAGGAGGAGAGGAGGATGAGGAAGAGGAGGAGGAGGAGGAGAGACGTGGAGGAGGAGGGAGGAGGAGGAGGAGGAGGAGAGGAGGAGGAGGAGGAGGAGGAGGAGGAGGAGGAGGAGGGGGGGGAAGGGGAGAGGACGAGGAGGACGAGGAGGGGAAGAGGGGAGGAACGAGGGAAGGAGGAGGGAGGGAGGAGGAGAGAGGAGGAAAGGAGGAGAGAGGAGAGAGGAGGAGGAGGGAGGAGAGAGAGGAGAGAGAGGGAAGAGTAGGAGAGAGAGAAAGAGAGAGGAGGAACGAGGGACAGAGAGAAAGAGAGATGGGAGACAGAAGGAGAGAGAGAGGAGAGAGAACGAAGAGAGAGGGAGAGGAGAGAGAGAGAGAGAGAGTGACATGATGCTGCTGATGATGATGCTGGTGATGATGAGGATGCTTGATGAATCTGTTGATGTATTAATGATGATGCTGAATGCGATTCTGGATGATGAGAAGGAGGAGGAGGAAGAAGAGGAGGACGAGGAGGAGGAAGGAGGAGTGAGGAGGAAGGGAGGAGGAGAGGAGGGGAGAGTGAGGAGGAGAAAATATGGAGGAGGAGAGGAGAGGAGGAGGCGAGGAGAGGAGAGGAGGAGGAGGAAGGAGGAGGAGGAGAGGAATAGGCGGAGGAGAAGGAGGAGAGGATGATGAGAGGTAGGAGGAGGAGCAAGGAGGAGCAGGAGGAGGCTGGCGAGAGGGGAGGAGGAGGAGGAATAGGAGGAGGATGATGATGGGAGGAGAGGAGCATGAGGATAAGGAGGAGGAGGAGGAAGAGACAGAGAGAGGAGGAAACGTAGGAGGAGAAAGGAGGAGAGGAACGTGGAGGAGATGAGGAGAGGTGGAGAGGATGATATGATGATGGTTATGATGGAGAGAGAGGAGAGGAGAGGAATGAGGAGGAGGAGAGGGGAGGAGGAGGCGGAGGAGGAGGAGGAAGAGGAGGAGGAGGAGGAGGAGGAGGAGGAGGAGGAGGAGGAGGAGGAGGAGGAGGAGGAGGGGAGTCAGGCATCAGCTGGGGAAGCGATCGCATTCCAACACGCATCAGAACACAGGCGTCACATCGGCGACTACATAGCCGCCAGGCAGACGTTCAGGCCCAGACGATGGGCGGCGACGAGGCGGCGACGAGGCGACGACGGGGCGGCGACGGCGACACCATAGCCGCCAGGCCGACCTTCAGGGCCGGTTCCTTATACCACAAGGAAAGAGCCCCTAAGGGCAAGCACTGCTTGGGGAATAGCTCCTCCCTGTTGCCCACCCAGACGTATCGGTAGGGCGAGCCGTGCGTTTCGCCTAAGACTTTCTCGCCACTTCTGATCCTGAAGCTTGAAACTTGCAACAGCTTCAATGCTGGAGGGTAAGTCGTTTGCAAACTGTGGCTCTCGCCTTAGCGCCGCACGAAATCGTCTTAACAGTTTGCAGCCGTTTCAAGGATGGAGGGCAAAACGTTCTTAACATGTGGTTCTCGCCTGAGCGCCACGCGCATCCGTTATACATGTTTGCAGCAATTTCAAGGATGGAGGGCGGGTGGTCTTCAAACGATGGCTCTCGCCTTAGCGCCGCGCGCATTTATTTCTCAAAGCTTGCAGCAACTTTACGGATGGAGGGCGGCTCCTTGTCAGCATCTGGCTCTCGCCTTAGAGTCGCGCGCATTCGTCTTAACATGTCGCAGCAGTTTCAGCGATTCGTACGGTTGAAATCCCAGGGCTGGTATCCTGGTACGATGTATGCTTGTCAGGACGCAACGGTTACGTTGACTCGCGGCGTCGAAGTCTCAGGAATTGCGTTATGGCGCGGTTTAGGACTGTCAGGACGCAGCAGTCACGTTGATTCGCGGCGATGGAGGCCCAGGAATGAATGGTATGTTGTGGCACGATTGAGGGATTGAGGATTCTCAGACAGTCGACTTCCAATGGGGCACTTCCCGCACATTACATGACACAGGACGTGCCAAAGCCCTTCTCCACGCGAGGCGACTACTTCTGTGAACGCTCCATGCACAAGAACACATCGCGAGATATGCACGATTTGCGCTGCCCTCACCTCCGCTGGCTCCCAGGAGCCTACACTTGCACAATTCGCAACCCGCGCTGCCCGCACCTCCGCCGTGCCTCCCAGAAGTCCACGGAAGTGGCGACAATTGCGCAGTCCGCAGCCCCCGACGGAGCCGCGAGAACTCAAATGGATCTGCTCTGCCCTCACCTCCGCCGTGTCTCCCAGGAGCCCACGAAAGAGGCGATCATTATGCAATTTGCAGCCCCCGAGGGATCAGGGACGCCAAGAAACGATCTGCGCTGCCCTCACCTCCGCTGTGCCTCCCGGCAGCCCACGAACTTGGCGACGGTTGCGCAGTTCATAGCCAGCGAGGGAGCCGCGAGGTCGCAATGGGTCTGCGCCACCCTCACCTCTGCCGTGCCTCCCAGGAGCCCACGAAAATGGCGACAATTACGCAATTCGTAACCCCCGACGGAGCTGCGAGGTCTCAAATGGATCTGCGCGCTGCCCTGCTCTTCGCTATGCCTCCCAGGAGCCCGCGAAAGTGGCGACAATTGCGCAGTCCACGGACCCCGACGGAGCCGCGAGGTTTCGAAGCGATCTGCGCTGCCCTCACCTCCGCCGTGCCTCCCATGGGCCCATGAGCGAACGAAGCTGCCGTCGCCTGGAAAGGGCCCATGTTACAATTGCGCACTTCGCAGCCCCCGAGGAAGCCGCGAAATCTCAAACGGATCCGCGCTTGCCTCCCAGGAGCCCGTGGAAGTGGCGACAGTTGCGCCGTGCGCAGCCCCTGACGGAGCGCAGGGTATGCAGGAGGAGGAGGAGGAGGACAGAGGGGGCTGTGGAAGATGCGATGCGGGATCAGAGCTCAATTTTCGAAACAGGAAGGTTGGAACATAACGTCTTATAGGGACCTCTGAAAAGGGAGCTCGGGGGGTATTATTGCAACACTGCTGATGCGTCTTGGGTTTGCACTGGTCCTTCTCCTCTCCTTCCTCCTCCTCCTCCTTATCCTCCTCCTCCTCTAACTCCTCCCCTTCCTCCTGTCAGACGTCGACGGTCCTCCGTCGCGTAGGCGGGGATCGTGCTGGCGTGCCCGCCGCACTGTGGCCAGCCCGGCGGAGCCGGCGCCTCACCGTCGTCGTCGCCGTTGTCTGACAGGCGGGGGACGTGGTGGGTGAGGTGGGGGAGAAGGTGGGGGAGGAGGCTTGCTGGCGGCCGTCGGCCTGGTGGACGCCCGCGTAAGAGAAGGATGATGATGACGTTGGTGGTGGAGGAGGAGGAGGAAGAGGAGGAGGAGGTGGAGGAGAGGAGAGGGAGGTTTGTCGAGGAAGAGGGGATGATGACGGGGGAGGGGGATGCTGGAGAAGGAAGCAGGACGAAGGATGGGAGACCGATGGGGGAGCAGGAGGAAAGTGGAGGAGAAGGAGGACCAGCTGCCGGGGCAGGAGGCGGCGGAAAGAGAGTGAGGGGCCGACGCCTCGTCGTAGAGGGTCAGCCGCGCGTCTCGTTCGCTGGCGCCCGCGCGCCGCAGTGCCGAGACGAGCCTCTCGCTGCCGCCGCCGCCGCCGCCGTCGTCGTTGTCGCCGACGCCGCCGCCGCCGTCGTCGTCGCCGTCGTCGTCGCCGTCGTCGCCGTCGCCGTTGTCGTCGCCGTCGTCGTCGTCGTCGTCGTCGTCGTCGTCGTTGTCGTCGTCGTCCTCGTCGTCGTCGTCGTCCGACGGCGGCGGCCCAGACGCCTCTCGCTGTAGTCGCTGGGGACCACGACGTCGTTCCGGCCATGGAAAGCCTGGACAGGCCGAGCGGCGCCGGGGCTCTTGGTGGGCGCACGCTGGACGGGGCAGGAGGGGGTGTCAGGGCAGGGCCAGGGGAAGGGAGAGGGGTCGGGGAGGGAGGACGGAGGGTCGGGGAGGGTCGGGGAGGGTCAGGGAGGGAGGGTCGGGGAAGGTCGGGGAGGGAGGGAGAGGGGGACCACGGAGAATTACGACCACGACCGCTGCCGGCAGCACCACGCCAAGCAGGACCACTTTGACAGGCACGTCGGAGAGCATTACGAGTGAGAGCAGCACCACGAGAGTTACGACCACGACCGCTACCAGCAGCACTACGTCAAGCAACATCACTCTCACAAAGACGTCGGTGACCAGTACGAGTGAGAGCAGCACCGCGAGAGTTACAACCGCGACCGCTACAAGCAGCACTACGCCAAGCAGCACCACTCTGACAAGAACGTCGGTGAGCAGTACGAGCCACGACCGCTACCTGCATCACCACGCCAAGCAGCACCACTCTGACAAGCAGGTCGGTGAGCAGTACGAGTGGGAGCAGCACCGCGAGAGTTACGACCACGACTGCTACCAGAAGCACCACGCCACGCAGCACCACTCTGACAGGCACATCGAGGAGCAATACGAGTGCAAGCAGCACCACGGGAGTAGCGACCACGACCGCTACCAGCAGCACAACTCTGGCGAGCACGTCGGTGGGCAGCACGAGTGGGAGCAGCACCACGAGGGGTACGACCGCCGCGACCGCTGCCAGCAACACCACGCCAAACAGCGCCACTCTGACAAGATCGTCGGTGAGCAGTACGAGTGAGAGCAACACCACCCAGCACCACTCTGACAAGCACGGCGATGAGCAGTACGAGTGAGAGCAGCACCACGAGGCGTACTACCACGGCCGCTACCAGCAGCAACGCGCCAAACAGAACCACTCTGACAAGCATGTCGGTGAGCAGCACGAGTGAAAGCAGCACGAGTGTGAGCACCACTCTGACGAGCAAGTGAGCAGTACGAGTGAGAGCAGGGCCACGAGAATTGCGACCACACGAAGCAACACCACTCTGAAAGGCACGTCGGCGAGCAACACGAGTGAGATCAGCAACGCGAGAGTTACGACCATGACCGGTACCAGCAGCACCACGCCATACAATGCCACTCTGACAAGATGGTCGGTGACCAGTACGAATGAGAGCAGCACCACGAGCGTTACGACCACGACCGCTACCAGCAGCACTACGTCAAGCAACATCACTCTGACAAGCAAGTCGACGAGCAATACGAGTGCTACGACCGCGACCGCAACCAGCAGGACCGCGCCAAGCAGCACCACCCTGACTGGCACGTCGGTGAGCAGTACGAGTGAGAGCAGCACCATGAAAATTGCGACCACGACCGCCACCCGCAGCACCGCGCCAAGCAGCACCACTAGGGCAAACGCGCCGATGAACAATACGAATGAAAATAGCACCACGAGAAGGATGACCACGACCGCTACCGGCAGCACCGTGCCATGCAGCACCACTGTGACAAGAACGTCGATGAGCAGTACGAGTGAAAGCAACACCACGAGAGGTACAACCCTGACCGCTACCAGCAACGCCTCTCTGTCGAGCACGTCGGTGGGTGGTACGAGTGAGAGCAGCATCACGCGAAACACGACTACGACCGCTACCAGCAACACCACTCTGTCGAGCAAGTCGGTGGGCAATACGAGTGGGATCAGCACCACGACAGTCACGACTACGACAACTACCAGCAGCACCACTCTGTCGAGCACGTCGATGGGCAGCACGAGTGAGAGCAACACCGCGAGAGTTACAACCGCGACCGCTACAAGCAGCACCACTCTGTCGATCACGTCGGTGGGTAGTGCGAGTGGGAGCAGCACCACGAGAGGTACGACTACGACCGCTAGCAGCTGCACCTCTCTGTCGAGCAACTCGGTGGGCAGTACGAGTGAGACCAGCACCGCGAGAGTCACGAGTACAACAGCCGCAAGCAGCACCACTCAGTCGAGCACGTCGGTGGGTGGTACGAGTGAGAGCAGCATCACGCGAAACACGACTACGACCGCTAGCAGCTGCACCTCTCTGTCGAGCACGTCGGTGGGCAGTACGAGTGAGACCAGCACCGCGAGAGTCACGAGTACAACAACCGCAAGCAGCACCACTCAGTCGAGCATGTCGGTGGGCAGTACGAGTGGGATCAGCACCACGAGAGTCACGACTACGATCGCTATCAGCAGCACCACTCTGTCGAGCACGTTGGTGTGCATTACGAGTGAGAGCTGCACCTCGAGTCACGAGTACGATCGCTACCAGCAGCACCACTCTGCCGAGCACGTCGGAGGGCTTTACGAGTGAGAGCAGCGCTGGGAGACTCACGACTACGACCGCCACCAGCAGCACTACTCTGTCGAGCACGTCGGTGGGCAGCGCGAGTGAGAGCAGCACCACGAGAGTCACGACTACGACCGCCACCAGCAGCACCACTCTGTCGAGCACGTCGGCGGGCAGCGCGAGTGAGAGAAGCACCACGATTGTCACGAATACGTCCGCTATCAGCAGCACCACTCGGTCGAGCACCATCGGCTCGAGCACTACAGAGTCGAGCAGGTCGGCGTCGACGAGCACCACAGGATCAAGCACCACGGACTCGACCACTGCAGAGTCGAGCAGCGCGACGGTGACGAGCACAATAGGGTCAAGCGCCACGGGCACAAGCACTGCAGAGTCGAACAGTACGACGTTGACGAGCACAGCAGTGTCCAGCACAGCTGGAAGCAGCACGAACATGACACAGAGCAACGCAATCGGTACCAGAGCGTTCACACGCCGCTCACACGCCGTGCGTTTCAGAGCTCTCGCCCTGCCACGACCTCAGATCCCGAGCTACCCCATCCTGTCGCATTGCCTCACCTCGACATCTACGCTGACCCTCGCGAGCGGGCTCGGGACCACAGAGGAAAACGGCAGGACCAGCGCCGGCAGCAGGCCAGCGCACAGCGCGACGGAGAGCAGCCAGGCGGCCAGACTTTGGGCTCCGCGCCTCTGGAGACACCTCCGCAGGGCCACCGCACTGGCAGCGCCGAGCTTTTGTACCTGCGGCAGGTGCGGTCGTGCGCTGCCGTGGCGTCGGGGGCCCAATCGGGCCAACCCGGCACCAGCCCGCCAGTCCCAGATACGCCGGACTCGGTCCCTCCACCGACGGGGCCGCGTACGGACGCCCTCCTGCATGCGGCGTACCTCCTTACGCGGGTGTCCTGCGAACTGTCGCTCCGAGATATCCTCTTCGCCATGGGCCCAGACGTGTGGTGCACAGCCCGCGCGGGCTGCATACTGTACGGCGCCCTCGGCAACCAGGCCCCCGCAATGCCGATCAGCGCGATGGTCTCCAAGAACCCTGTGCCATGGATGGCGTCACGGGCGGCTCTGCTCGGAGGGTGGCGCGCGATCGTGGGCCTCGCCGCCTTGGGGGTCACAGCTGGAGACGTACATGTTCGCCCCTGGATGTGCCGATTGTGCAGCGCAGGCCTGGTCGCGGCGGGACGCGGAGCCCTCGGCAGCCCACTCGCCGGCCTGTTGCTCGTGGCCGCGTGCCATTGGCCAGCCTTCCCCGGCGACGAGGCAGGAGAGGGGCCGCCGCCGCCGCCGCCGCCAGACCCGCACCCTCGATCCAGACCGCCATCTGGACGGGACGCCCTGGTCACCAAGTGGGCCGTGGACGCCTTGCGCTTGAGGCGGGCTTGCCCCTGCCGGGCGGCTGGCTGTGGGGATCGCCTCGAAAAGGGCGGTTTGCGGGTGTTCAACCCCGACCAGGCGAACAAACTGTACTATCACCCGCGCTGCGTCGAGGGCGGGCTTGGGCCCTTCGACCAACTTGGGGGCGCTGGCCTCCTCGCGGCGGAGCATTCGGACACCATCCGCGAATGCTGTGACTAGCCTGGCAGGACAACGAGAGCGGAATACGTCGAAGACACGCGCCGGGCCAAACGGGCCAAGGCAGACCTCGAACAACACCGGCAAGCAGCCGCCCTTGGGGCGCCCCTTGCTCGACGCAGACGACGGGGACCCAGCCAACCTGCCAGAGGATCCTGCGGAGAATGGGGAGCTCCTCCAAAACTTGGCCTGGTGGGACACCGGGGACTACATTGACCTCCGACACCACGTGGCGACCGAACTCCACGTCCCGGACACGGTGGGCGCTGCCCTTGTGCAGCTCCGGGGCCAGGTGGCATAACGCCTCCTGCAAGCCACCGACAGCGGGGACGTGACTGCGCTTCGACGCACAGAAAAGCTCTTCACCTTCTTCGACCGGGTCCTCTTCTTCAAGCCCGGCAGGACCAGAGGTGGGCGCAAGACAAGGAGGAACAGCGGGTGTCGCGCAGCCATCTTCACACGACGCCTGCGCCTCGCGGCGGCAGGAGACTGGGCCGCACTCTGGAGGGAAGCTCACGCAGCGGCCGGGACTGCGCCGCGGCGACCTCGGCGCGCCGACCCCCCCGATAAAGACGCCATGGCGGTCGAGGCACTGGTCGGCGAGGGCCTGGTCAGCAAGGCCATGACCCGCGGCTTTCGGCTGGTCACAGTGGCCACGGGGGCGCCTCTTCCCCCGGGGGCTGCCCCCCTCGGCGCGGCTGACGTCGAGCGCCCAGACGAGGACACCAGCAGTGACTTGGCCGCTGCCGTCAGGCGCCACCTCGGCCAGAGTCCGCGGCAGTCGTGGCCAGGGCCCAACGATGGCCGTTTTGAGCACTGGCGCACCCTCCTGAGACTCTGCTGCCCTCGACGCAGTCGCCAAGGTGACGGTCCTCTTCCTCTGCGGGATGCTCTCCCCAGAAGCCATGCGAGCCAACCTGAGTACGCGCTTGGTGGCCTTCCGCAAACGCAATCGCATGCGGGAGCGTGCTGCGCCGCCTCGCAGCCAAGGCGGCGTGCGATGTGTTCCACGAGTATCAAAGCCGCGTGCGGGCCACACCAGTACGCTGTGGGAAAACCTAGAGGCTGCGAAGTCATGCGCAAGTGCATCTCGGCGCTCACGGAGGCGAGCCCCCAGGGCGTGGCCATCGCCTTCTACTGCAGCAGCGCCTTCAACAGTTTGCCCCGACACCACATCCTAAGCAGCTTCCGCGCCCGGGCACCAGCCTTACTCAGAACGGCGCACTGCTGGATAGGAGGGGAGACAACGGACTTGCTCTGGGGCGACAGCGATTGCGCCGAACCCATCCGGGCAACCAGCGGGGTCGACCAAGGGTGTCCGCTGTCCCCGGCCCTTTTCGCAATTACCGTGGCGGGGGCTTTGAGCGAGATCGGCAGAAAGCTCCAAGAGCTGTCCCCAGAATGCCGGGTGTTCTCCCCTTTGGACGACATCATGGTCTACGCGCCGCCAGCACACGCCACCGCGGCGGCGAAACTGGTTCCCGAGGAGCTCGCTCGCCTCGGCCTGTCGGTCAACCTCGGCAAGACACAAGCCTGGGCAGCCGACCGCGGGGCCTCGCGGCCAGCCCGACTCGCCGCCCTCCGGTCTGACAATCTGCTCTGCCTCGGAAGCGCTGCTCACGGGCTAGACCAACAAGAGGACAGGGCCCTGGTATACGCCGGAGCCGACGGCGCCGCGGCAGTGGGTTGCGCGCGGGCCTTCGCCGCGCGGCTGCGGGAACTGAGAGCGGCTGGCCTCTCAGCCGAGGCCACGTATACGCTCCTGCGCACTTACGGGCGGGGATGCGTCACGCACCACCTCAGGGCGGACTTGCAGACAGGCTGGGTGCGGGAGCTCGACGACGTGCTGTTCGCCGCCCTCGGAAGCCTCCTCGCGGAGCCCCTGGACGACGTGCGGCGCTTGCGGGCCACGCTGCGCCTTTCCGACGGAGGGTGCGCTTTTCCTTCCGCCGCTCAGACCGCCCCAGCCGCTTACGCCGCTAGCTGGGCCCTCTGCCTGCCCTGCCTGCACAAGGTGGCCACCTGCCTAGGGGTCAACATCCTGGAGGAGCTTCGCGCCCGCTGCCCGCGCACCCTCCAGGCTGTTGCTCAGGCAGAGCAGGCGCTCCAGGATGCCGGCGCAATCGGAGAACCGCTGAACCTGCTCGACTACATGCGGGAGCCGCAGCACAAGCGACAGGGGCTCTGGGGGAAAGCCGCCTCGGAGGCTAGCAAGAAACGACTACTGGAGACACTGCTGGACGAGGACGGCCGCCTTTCACTGCGTTCGGCGGGAGGAACTAGGGCGGGGTCATTCCTGCTGCCCCGACACGTCAGCGACGCCGCGCAGCCAGACAAGCACTTCCTCACGAATTTGAAGATGCGGCTGGACATGCCCGTCTGCCTAGAGGGGACCTGCCGTGCAAGCCCGTCTGCCGTGCAAACACAAGAACAAGACCACGGGGCAACCCTGCAACCAACCTCTCGACTGGAAGGGGTGGCACGCGAGAAAATGTGAAGTCGGGGAGTCTCGGAACGACGGGCACAACTGGCTGCGGGACTGGCACTCCAAGCGGCACGCAGCGCTCACCGGATACGCTGCCCCCACTGAGCAACGCGTGCCAGGATGGGATCGCCGCGTCCTCAATGGCCGCCTCGAGGAGGCCAAGTTCGACGTGGCCACCGTCGACCACGCCAGTGGACGCCACATCTTTGTGGACTGGACCGTGGCCTGCGCACGCTCAACGTATGCCCCGCGCAGGCAGGCCCGGTCCCACAGGATTGGCTTGGCGGCGGCCCAGGGGGTCGACAGCAAGAGGGCGCGGTACCCCCCGCGACAAGGGCTCGACCTCATCCCAATGGTGTTTGAGGCCAGGGGGAGGCCTCCGAAGAAGCTGCGGCCTTCGTGCGCAGCTACGGCGCCGACCTGGAGGCGGACGAGCGCGGCGAGCTCTTGGGCCGCCTCTGGCGCGAGATCTCGGTCACCCTACAGACGGGCAACGCCGAGAAGGTCCTCAGCGCCCTAGGGCAGTAGTCTGCCACGACTGTCAGCAGCACGACCTCCGCCAGCACGACTAACCACTAATTTGCACGCCCGCCAACACGACCGCCCCGACCACCAGCTGACCGACCACCAGCGCGACCACCGCGACCTCCAGGTCTACCAGAAGGCCGACCACTAACACGACCACCACGATCACAGCCAGCACTGCCGAATTCCAGCACGACCACCGCCAGCACGACCACCATCCTACGACCACCACAACGGACGCTGCCACCCCCCTCACGACTCCCACGACCACCTCCGCCCCCGTCCCTCCCCCTCCGCCCTCCTCTCATGCCCCTGCCAGCCCGCCCCGGCCAAAGCGCGTGTTTCGCGCGTGTCTCCCCTCCCTCCTCCTCCTGCTCTCTGCGCTGCCACTCCCCGTCGGATCCCTCTCCCCCTGCTCTCCTGTGTCTCCTGGCTCCGCGGCCTCTCTTGCTCTTCTCCCCCCCGCCTCCGCGGGTGCCCCTTGCTCCGTCGTCGTGTCGTCCGTCTTCCGCTTCGTCCCTCGTCGCTGTGGCGTGTGCGGCCTGGCTGGACGGACACGCGCTCAGGGTGGCCCCCTGAGTGCTGACGGGGGCGCCAGACCCGCGGCCAGCGAGCGGGAGGGGGGGGGGTGAGGGGGAGGATGACTCGGGGCTCACGGGTGTGGCAGGGCCAGGGGAAGACTCGGGGAAACATGGAAGGGAGGGAGAGAGAGGTCGGAGAGGGAGGAGGGAGAGGAGAGAGGGACTCATGGGGCCAGGATAAAGGGAGGGATGGAGTCTCCTCCTTCTCCCCCTCTCTCTCGCTCGTCCTCCTCCACCTCGTCATCCTGCTGCTGCTCCACCACCACCTCCACCTACACCTTCAACGCCAACTCCAATCGCCTCCCACCTCCCGCCTCCAATATATCTCCACCACATCTTCCTGCACCTCCCATCTCGACTTCCGCCCCGTCCTCCGCCTCTCCACTGCTCCAGCTTCCGCACTTTGGTCTGGCCAGGAACCCATACAGGAACTCCCTCTAGTGCATCTGGCCTGAACGGCGGAAGGGGAGGGGAGACAATGGCGGGAAGAGGAAGGCGTAGGTGAGAAGGAGACAGGACGGGCGAGGAATAGTTGGGAAATAATGCAAAAAAAGGGGGGCAGCAGGAGGATGGGGAAGGACGGCGAAAGGGAGAACGGGCAGGATGTGGACTACGATGGTGATGATGCTGATGATGCTGATGATGACGATGCTGATGATGATGCTGATGATGATTCTGCTTATGATGGTGGTGATGATGATGATGATGCTGATGCTGATGCTGATGCTGCTGCTGATGATGATCATGGTGATAACGATTTTTCTATTGTTTTTTGGGGGGGGCTGTATCACCCAGGTGTGAATTTCTACAAATCACTCTTCTGCTCCTGGCACACTACACGCGCCGACGGGTGTGCGGACGCTGGTCGTCAAAGTCCTCCCAGCTCAAGTTGTTCATGGCGTCGTGGGGGCGACAGGAGACCATTTTCGCCAGATAATCGATCAACATAGAAGCGGCCACACATTCCGCAATCGTCGAGGTCGTGCTGCCGAGGTAAATTGAGGCCGTCTTCCACTGATGCCAAATACCGTCCTGCAACCAAATGTCAATCGAGCACCCTGCGCATGCATGCTTACCTTTGAGGCTCCCGACAAAGGAGCACGTAAATGGATCTCCCTGCAGCTGGGAAAAACCTCACGACGAAATTGTGGGAACAATACTCCGTGTGGTGGCGTCTGACCGCGCTCCTGGCCAACTCGGCGGTGCGACATGGATGAGTTAATCATATGGAAAGAAATGGCTGATGCTGACGCTGATGCTGATGCTGATGATTCTGCTGCTGATGATGCTGATGATGATGGTGATGATGATTGTGATGGCGGTGATGCTGCTGGTGATGAGGATGATGATGATGCAGATGATGCTGATGAAGTTGATGATGACGATACTGAACATGACGATGATAAAGGAAAAGAAGAAGAAGGACGAGGATGAGAGGGGGGGAAGATGGGGGGGAGAACGAGGATGAGGATGCGAGGAAGAGCGGCCTGGGCGTTCCCGCAGCCGCGACGGGCGCGACCGCGTGGAAGCGCCTGAGGGGGTGTGCTACGCCCGACAGCTCACCCCTCCTCCTCCTCCTCCTCATTTTCTTCTTCGCCTTCCTCCTCCTCCTGCTCCTCCCCTTTCTCGGTGCAATGGAAGGAGCAGGACTAACAGATGGTGGATCTGGAAATTCGCGTCGCCCAAAGCTGGAGTCGACCGATCAGAAGGCCAAGTGGAGAGCTGGGGCCAAGAACTCGGCTGCGGGGGGAGTGAAAGCTGCACACACCTTCTCCAAGAAACAAATCCTATCAACCCTCTGGGCGACGGGTGGTCTAACGATGTCTGTCTTTCTTTTTCTAAACACCCCTCTTTCCCTTCGGGGAAGGGTTCATCGCCGTCCCTACTAATATACACCCCGTCCCCCAATCGGCCGGCGGCCAACCCGGAACCATGCCAACCCCATGCGGGCCACCCTCCCCACCATCCATGTCAAAAGACATAACAAAACACACTCTGCCTCCACATTTGGAGCATGCGCGACCGACCCGATGCGGCCCCTCACGCCATCCCTGTCCAAAAACAATGCACAATACAATTTTGGGCAAAGTCTTGAGTCATCTTCGTGAGACCCGAGAGCGCTTGGTATTGTTTTTGACAGGGACGGCGTGGGTGTCAGCATATTCCCTGCTGTTCGCAGGGCTACCATCCCTCACCAAAAACAATACAACATGCACCTCGCGGCTAAATCTGGATCATGCGCGGCCGTCCCGCGATCACTGTCAAGTGGTTTTTGACAGGGACGGCAGGGGTGGTGGCGCGTGGCCTGCTGTGCGCAGGCCCAGCAGACACAATGATGGGCATCGGTTTTCGACAAGGATTGCGGGGGCCGACATGTTTCCCGCTGTGTGCTGTCACGTGCGCAGGCGCACCTGACGAACTCTGCATGCGCCCCGAACGTGGCGCACCTGGCGCGGCTGGAGTGTGTGGCACACCTGGCGCACTCGAAGCACGTGGCGCATCTGGCGCACCAGGCGTGCCTGGCACGCTCAGGCCCCGAGGTTGCTTGGCGCACATGGCGCCCCTGGCATGCGTGGCGCACCTCGCCCAAGCGTCGCGCACCTGGGGTCGGCTTTGGTTCCCAGTAGCTGTCCATCCAAAGACGACCGCTGAACATGCTCAGGCTCGGATGTTACTAATGTGTGGGGAGGGCAGGTGGGAGTGAGCTAGATGGCTTGCGGGCGGGTGGGTAGCTTGATCGCTGTTCCGTATTAATATACACCCCCTCTCCCAGGCGACTGGGGGCCAACCAGGAACCATGCCGACACCATACCCACCCGCCCCCCACCCTCCCTGTCAAACAACAATACAAACTGCACTCTGCCTTCACATTTGTAGCATGCCGGCCAACCCGATGCGCCCCCCCCCACCATCCCTTTCAAACAACAATGCAAATTATTCTTTGGGGCAAAAATCTTGAGTCATGTTCGTGAGACCCGCGAGCGCTTGGTATTGTTTTTGACAGGGATGGCGGGCCAGCATATGTATCCCCTGCCGTGCGCAGGGCTACCATTCCCGACACGAAAACAATACAACATGCACCTCGCGGCTAAATCTGGATCATGCGCAGCCATCCCGCGATCACTGCCAAGTGTTTTTTTTTGACAGGGACCGCGGGGGTTGCTGGCGCGTGGCCTGCTGTGCAAAGGCCCACCAGACACAACGATGGGCATTGATTGGTCTTCGACAAGGATGGCGGGGGACCACATGTTTCCGGATGTATGCTGTCACGTGCGCAGGCGCACCTGACGAACTCTGCACGTGCCCCGAACATGGCGCACCTGGCGCGGCTAGAGTATGCGGCACACCTGGCGCACTCGGAGCACGTGGCGCATCTGGCGCACCAGGCGTGCCTGGCACGCTCGGGCCCCAGGGGTGCCTGGCGCGCGTGGCGCCCCTGGCACGCGTGGCGCACCTCGCCCAAACGTCGCGCACCTGGGGTCGGCTTTGGTTCCCAGTAGCTGTCTATCCAAAGACGACCGCTGAACATGCTCAGGCTCGGATGTTACTTATGTGTAGGGAGGGCGGGTGGGAGTGAGCTAGACGGCTTGCGGGCGGGTGGGTGTCTTGACCCCTCCCTCCGCCCCCTCCCCTGGACCTGGACGGGGGGGGGCCGCGAGGTGTCAGAGGGTTCTTTGTTTGCCAAGATGGCTCCAAGAGGACCTCAGAGAGCCCAAGATAACCTCCAATATCACCCAATATAGCTAACAACATGCCTCCCGCATGAGGGCCACAAGCCGGTTCCAGGTGTTTTTGGCGACCCCTCAGGACCTCCCCGAGAAGCCCAAATCCTTCAACAACCTATGGTAAATAACCGTCTTTTCGCCTTTTCGCTTCCGATGCGCTCTTGAGGCTTCAATATGGCCTTACCATGGGCCAAATGAGACCCAAGAAGGGCCCAAGAGGCCCCGAAAACGGCCCCCAAAGCGCCAAGATCGCCCCAAGAGGGCATCAAGAGCGCCCCAAGAAACTGTTTTGATGGCCCCATAGGGGAGAGGCAAATCGAGGACCCCCCCTCCTTCAACCGACGGTCTCCAAGATGGCCCCAGGAGGCGCTCCATAGTTCCCAAGAGAGCCCCATGATATCCCCAAAAGACCTCCAAAAGGGCCCCAAGATGCCCCAAAAGAGCTCCAAGAGGACCCCAATATCCTCCAATACAGCACCGTAGCTCCAAGAAGGCCTCCGATGCTCCAATCTAGCCTCCAAAATGGCTCAACACCCTCCCTCCCCTCCTCTCCTTGCACGCTCTGTTTCACTATATCTGTGTCTTCTCTCCCGTCAGCTCTCACGGGCACGGCTCCAGAATGGGAATTCTTTTTTTTGGTCGCGGCCGTGAGACAAAGGTCAGGCGGCGAGAAGCAAAGTCCGGGGCACGAGCGAAGCTAATTAGCTACAACAGGCACAGGCCGGCCGGCCCGCTCACGAAGCAGCCGCGAGGCAGATGGGGAGCAGACGGCAGGGGTATCCTGAGAGCTCACGAGCACGTGCTCAGACAAAATGTCATGGAATTCGGTGCCTGCCACAGTATGAAACGTGAACCAGGATAACCACGTCCGTCAATCTCAGTGGGGGCAAGTGGGAGGCCAGTGGAGTGAGTCGCCGGTGGGGCGCCAGGCTCCAAACGCCGTGACGACGTGAGCTAGCCAACGGGGGCTGAGCTGTCGCAAACCGTGAGGCCACGCAACTGGGAAAAGCTGATGGTGAGCCTGGGGCGCTGTAGCTGCAGCGGAAGGCTGAACTACTCCGTGGCGATACCAACACCCGTCAGACCACCCCACAGTGCAAAGGGGAACCAAGCGACTGTGAGCCACGCAGTGCGTGCCGGCACGGCGTCAGGCCTCTGAGTGAGGGGGGGAATACCAGCTGGCGTGGTGAGCATCACCAGCGGGGAAGAGAAAGCTGGGGAGGCTGAAGGTGGGCCTGTAGGACTGCACCTGCTGCGGAAGGTTGAACCACTCTGCACCATGGCCAGCCCCAGTCAGACCACGTCACAATGCCAGGGGGTGACCGAGCGACTGTGAGCCATCCGGCGCGTGCGGGCACGGCGGCCACTGAGTGGGGGGGAACCCGCTGGCGCGGTGAGCATCGCCAGCGAGGAAAGAAAGATGGAGTGCGAAGTGGCGGTGCCGTGACGGCGACCCGGACCAGAGCGGGTGGGTCCCCAAGAGCACAGGTTGAGCTGTACCTCACGGGGCACGTGGCGCCGGAACGGGCGGGGTGTGCTGTTGTCTCAGAGCGGTGCGCCTGGGGGGGGCTGCACAGTGGAAGACAAGAGGGCCGTCGGACGCAAGTCAGGCAACATGGTGGGGATTCGCGAAGCGTAAACAATAGCTTGTCTTCCTGCACGCGCGGGGGACAAACCTCAAATTCTCCCAATGACTGGTCAAACCGCCTTGCAACAACTGCTCGACCAATGGGCTCCGCTCTGGCATGTTCCTGGGCGCGGCTACTCACCCTTCCGCGTGGGAGATTCCAACAGATGATCCTGACGTGGCCCCTCCGGGTCTCGAAGACCTCCGTAGAGCCCGTCGAAAGTCAGAGCCCTTCGGCTGGCCTGGAATGGGACGGCCACCGTCCTCGCTGGGTGTTGCAGCTCCCTGGGGGACACCGGTACAATATCCTTGAGATTCTCACCGATTTCGAGGTCGATCCTGGATCCACCGCAATGTCTCTGACGGACGTGGCTTTCCTGGGTAAGCCGGCAAGAAGAGTCAGGCCGATTGGGTTCTCGTGTCTCCTCATGAAAATATGGAACAGGATGCGGCAACCGTGTTGCAAGAGCTGGGAGAAATCTCACGTGTTTGAATTCTTCTGGGGCGCGGGCCCCGACACGACCTGTGAGAGGGCCGGGTGGGTCCACGATCTTCTGGAGACCCCCAAGCTACTGGTTTCGAGTCGGCGTCGGCCCTCCTGAACCAACACTTGCTCAGGGCGGCTAAGCGCTTCGCATTCCAAATCGAACTGGCATGATGATGCTTCATCTACGGTGGGGCAACCTCGGAGGTGGTCACAGCTAACCGTACTAAAGTTGCAGGTTGCTCAGGAACATCCACGTTTGCGAAGATGCCTTCACTCGGATGACTGCTAGAAGCTTCATGCGTTCCGCGAGAATAGGCCCCTGTTGTATTCGCGAAATGTGATCGACGACATTACGTTGCAGTCTTGAGGGCCAAGCTTGCCGGTGGCGCAGCAGTTGGCAGGAGGAGCCGAGACGCTTTTCAAGTCTTTCAGCGAATTGAATTTCCTTCGTTAGTTCCAGAAGTGCGCCTACCTCTGTTCGAAGGGGGTGGACAAACACCTCGGAGTGTTATGGTCCCTCCCCGCGTCGTGCAGGACCGAGACTACGAGGCATCTGGGTACGAATGCAATGTTAGGAGGAGTCAGGAGGGAAATCACCCAGAATGTCAAATAATTCAAAGCGGTTTCGCGATCTCGGAGGCTCCAGATACTCCGGGCGACAGGGGCTGATATCTCCATGGTGCATTGGATGGG